GTATTGAGATGAACTTTTGTTATTGACCAAATACTTATTTTCCACCATTATTTGCAAAAAAATTCTTTAAAAGTCAGACAAAATGATTTTCTCAATTTTTTTTCACATTTTGTCTCTCATAGTTGAGGACTACCTATGATGTCAATTACAGGTCTCTCTCATCTTTTTAAGTGGGAGAACTTGCACAATTGGTGACTGACTAAATACTTATTTTCCCCACTGTATGTTTATGACATATGTTAAGTTACTGCACTGTATTGAAGAATTTTATAGTTATTATAGATTAGTACTGATGTTAGAAACAACACTAGAGTATTAGGGTTTCCTTTTTTATAATACTTTTATAATGCTTAATCTATTATGTGTTAATTGAAATAGAGTAGCTAAATGTCCGAATTATAAACAACACAAGTGAACCGTTTTTATAACATTAAGTTGAGGTTTTTGTATGAATGCCTGTGATTCAGCCGTAGGTCAGTAGAGGGCGAACTCAGGCATTGAAGAATTGTGTATAAAAACATGTACTTCCTGATTGTGAGTCAGTGTGTGGTTTCCTGTCAGATCCAAATGGCATTAAATCCTCACGCCCAGAATTCTGGTTTTGTATGATTTTATCTCGTCTAACAATCATCTTATTTAACAGTGGCGGTTTTCCACTGACTTCAGTCTTTGAACACGAATATTCTTACAGTATGTTGGTTTAATAAACAAATATATCCAAACATTTTTAAAATGGCAGTTTTATTACATTTGGGTAAGGGTGCAGCACTATGTGATCCTTTTGTGTCAACTAAAAATTGTTGGCCCTTCCATCATTGAAGATGAAAAGTTTGAGCAAACAAATAAAATCTCTGTATGTGCTGCTTTGTCTATTCAAATGTTTGAACAGAAACCTTTTTATGTTACAGGAGCTTGAATCTTTATTTTCTGGTCATTTTCACTCTCTTTATTTGTTGTATTTCAGTTTATTACTCTGCTGATCTCAAACAATTTCTCTGTATTTTGCTCCATCTGTCTTGCCTGTAACTATGACCAATTTCCTRGTTCCTGCTGATGAAAACATCTCCACATCATGATGCTGCCACCACCATGCTTCATTAAGAGATGGTTTCAGCATGATGCAGCTTAGTCTCATGGTACTGTCCTTGATGGCCTGCAAAAGAGCTCCATTCATTTTTAAAATCTGAAAGACCATTTAAATTGCAGGTTGTAAAGCAACAACAACTAAAAGTTGCCAAAAGATGTGAATACTTTTGCAACCCACATCAGCAGCTCTTTATACATTCCTTTTTTCCACTTGAAATTCACAAGATTAGACTCAAATCATTCAAAGCCAAACCACTGAACAAACAATTTGATGGGAAATTATTCCAACAATAAGAACAAAACCAGTTCCAGATTCACCATTGCGTTTCACTATCTGACCTGGCTTGCAACGTGCATGCACATACAGATTTTTAGACGGTATGCAATATGGAAAAACAACAACAAAAAAAGACCCTAACATTACTTCAAAGAAGGGAGAACATGCATGACTGAGTCAAAGCAACACTCTGGGTATGTTGTTGATGTGGGAATGACATAACATGATACAAAACTCTTAACAATTTATTTTGTATAAAACCACCCTTTAATGCTTTAATGTCCTCTGATATCTCCACTCTGAGTGGACGACTTTTGTCTTTGTTTATCAACTTTTTCTCACTGTGAAAACAAACATTCACTAGTGTAAACCAGGTCAGTTTAGGAAATTGAGATTTTCATTTTACTTTTTATTTATGGCCAAATCATCAAAACGATATTTACTGTAATCACAGTTATGACAGAAGTTCATCACAAGTTTTCATAAGGGTGAGGTTTGGTCTGGATGTTAGTTTAACTGAGTGTATTTAAACATGCAGCAAACTTTGCACCACAACTTGAACAAAACCAAACCATGAAGCAAGTTAGTCTCACAGATGCTCTTTGTTAGAAACAAGTCTACCTGAGGCTCATCAACACTCTGACAGAGAAAATCCTCCTGTGAACTTCCACCTTCCTCTCTGGCTGTGGAGAAAAGCTCCTCAAACTAAGAGACATGAAAAAGTCTGCTCACCCATCTACTACAAAACAGTCAGACAAAGAAAACTAATTTAAAGCAATACTAAGAAAAAATTGCAAACATTAAAGAGCAGCAACATATTTAGATTACTCACTGTATTTGAGTTATGAGATTTCAGAAATGTAATGCTAATTTAAGTATTTGTTTGTATAATAATAGTTTGGGTTGATAAAACTAATWTTCGTCCAGAATCATCAGCTGTTAAAAAAATTGTTTTGATATTAGGGCCGCCACAAACAATTATTTTTATAGCTGACTGATTTTTTTTGATTAGTCGACTAATCAGATCATACGTTAATTGAATATAAAACATACAGCTTATCACGCCTGAATGCAGCTGCTATTATATAACCATGGTTAGATTTTAGCTATATGCTAACTAAAAATAATTGCTGTGGAAGGCAAGTTCTGCTCTGCAGATATTGTACAGGTTTCTCTTTCATTTCCTTAAAATGATCCCACACTTTGAGCTCCGTTGCCAGGTAGCCATGATACCAGAGCCTGTCTGTATAATGTCTTGTGACGTCCACGGCCTACCCCAGTTACCACTACTGTGCACGTGTGTCAAGGACAGAAAGGCAGATGTGGCAATGGAAGGTGTCAAAGCAGTTTGGAGAGAAAAACAATGTAAAAAAACCACAACAAAAATTTAATTAAATAAAAACCAGTAATCGACTATTAAATTAGTCGTCGACTAGTCGACTAATCATGGCAGCCCTATTTGATATTTGAAGTTACTTTATTTACTAAGTAAAACAGCTGAAAAAATATCCTGAACAGGTGGCGATTCCACAGTTTATGTGAGGACTGAAAATGCAGCGCTAAAAGTGACCTATATTACTGGTTGTGTATAAATAAAACCTGAACTGGTATTTACAGTACAGGTCTAACACTCAACACTTCCATCATTTTCCATTGTGGCATCCTAATAATAATTCACCTTGAGTTGTTTTTCCTGTTAATCCTCATCTCTATTAATAGCCGTGAGTGGATGGGGGGAAAAACCTATCAGGACAATAACAAAGCATCTGCTTACATCCCTGTCACCTGGAAAAACAACAGATGCTGCAACACATAACATGTTGGATCCAGGCTCAGGTGGTATGAAGGTATTTTGTTATACTACAGTATCAAAATATGTTGACAGTATATAAAAATTATGACAGAATGAGCCATGTGAGGTGAAGCGCCAAATTTCCACCAGGCTGCTATGAGAACTGGGACATAAATAATTAGGCTATTTCATAATATTATTGACGCGTGTTCAGACCACCTCAGATTATTCAGAAGACAGACGGAGGAGGAGTGGAGCAGAGACACCCCTGTCTGCTGCGCCTTTTAACCACCAAGCAAGGTAAAAATGTATTTAAAAAGAAAATAAATGAAACTGGAAGCCTGGAAAAAAGACCTGAGAGTTAATTTATCACTGGAAGATTGGCAATCTGTCTGTACAAGGGCTCAAAAACAGTTAACTCTCGCTTAAGGTTACTGCAATACAAATGGTTAATGCAAATCTACATTACACCAGTCAATTTAAATAGGTACAACTCTAATATACTAGACTCATGCACAAAATGTTTAGAAGAAAAGGGGACTTTGCTTCATTGTATCTGGGAATGTAGGGAAATTAAAAATTTTTGGAAAGCAATAAAAGATACTACATAACATCTTATCTCGAAAGAAGTTGTGATGGATCCGGTTTTTCTAATTTTGGGCCTGTACCCAAAAAATTCTTTGTTTACCAAAAATGAGCAGCTGTTGATTGATATGTGTCTATTAGAAGCTAAAAGACTGATAACATTATTCTGGAATAAAACAACAGGACCAGGTATCAAACAATGGATCAGGCACATGCTGAAGACTTTATCTCTGGAACGCATAATATATCTCAAAAAAAGGGAAAAATGAATTATTTGGGAATATTTGGAGACCCTTCCTGAATTTTGTTGAAGGGGTGGACTTATCTCAAGACAAAGAAACCAGCTAAAATCATAATTMATGTCAGATCATAATAGTAAACCTGGAAGCCTCAGCAATGGACTATTATCTCCTGTGTATTTGGTGAAGTTTATGCGGATGTGTACCTAAGAGGGTGTTGGTTTTGTTGACTGTATAGGAAATCTATATCTGTAAAAAATACAATAAAAATAATGTTGGAAAAAAAAGAATATAAATAAAGTATATTATATAAAGTATAAGGAAGTATTTTTAAAGGTTATACCACAGTGTGCAAATGATAAATACCGTTAATAGTTGAAATGTTTCCAAATACTCAGCACTCTGAAATTATTTTTCCTTTTGTTTTCGGTTTCTTTTCTGTACGTACAGATTCTAACCCTTGCCCAAGAAGTATTGCCTTTATACAGGCGTCACCCTGCAGTTGCTAGAGAGTTACACAAGAGTTGAGTGTCCCTCGGTTTAAAAAAAAAAAAAAAACTTTACCCCAGCCCATTAAAATCAAACCTACAGGAAACATTCCCAAAAGAACAAAAGGTGCTGCAAAGAATCAGTAGCTGTAAATCTGTAGAAAACAACCAGAGAAAGATAACAACACAAAGGCAATAAGAGGCAGTTTAGTATAAATATGTGTTGTTGTGTTGAGAAGTAAAGTAATGAAAAGTCCTACAACTGGAATGAACTGTGAAAAAAATACAACTCTTATCAGATCCTATGTGTAAACTTCTAGAAAAACTACAAATGAATACTTAAACACACATTAATATTCATGATGGAGCATTCTTGGAAGCATAAACTCCAACTGCAACAATATGAAAGACACTGTGTCTCCTCCACCCTCCCTCGAGGTTAAAAGCAGGCCCCAGAATGGTACCACTTCCTCTACATCCTGGGCTCCAAGCCACCAGGCTCGTAGTTAAAAATTCTGCTCACACTGAACAAGCCCTTTTCTCCTWACAGAAATGTTCTCTTTCCTCAGTGTTTCTTGGCAGCGAGAGTTTTCAGTTTGTCTCCACAACATCTTAAGTGACCTGGAGATGATGTCACCGTTCAGGTCTGTGGGAAGTTCAGTAACTTTACAGTCTAAACCTGTTTGTTTGGAGAAAAGCTTTTGACTTTAATCTGGACATTAAAGCTTAAATCGTACCTTGAGGCTGGTGTTGGACAGTGGATGGCTGAGGTTGTTGAATCTCCATTGCTCGGATGGGGGGTCACTGGGTTCTCTCTGGGGTTCAGGGGTCACACCATCAATACCAGGAAGTTGGAATATGCCCATGGAGATGGGACGCTCCTTCCTGGAGGCAAAAAGAATGGGGAAAAATAAAAAAAGAAAATCAAAAACTTGGAATATATATATATATTTAGATGATAGATGACAGACAGACAGACAGACAGACAGACAGAACAAGAACACCCATTCAAGAGACACACATGACAAAAAACATGGAGGAACAGGTAAATAAACACAATATAAATTGATATAAATATATATATTGATTGAAAGTCTGATTATTTGGAATGAAAGTCTGACAGCAGAGCTGGACTTACAGACCAGTCTGGATGCTAAGCTAAGCTAACTGGGTGGTTGGAGTGGGATTTCTTCTCTCACTGATGACTGAAATGTATTATTTCAGGCCTAAATTTATCAATTATCAATTAATCAATTATGTGATGTATTCGTGTTAATGTGTGTTTAAATTCATAACTTTGAAATAAACAAATGTAATAAAGTTTAGAGAAAAATTTTACGAGCCCTCAGCAGTACCAACAGTGGCCCACTAGAGGTCGAAACCCAAACTTTGAAGGCCCCTATTAAAAAAAAACATTGGTTCCCAAACATTTTTGCCTTTTACCCACAGAACAAAAGTTAAGACTTGACAATGACTATATTGATTAAGTTTACAAACATTGTTTACTTTTTAACAAGAACTTCAAACTTAAAAAAAGTTTTATGCAGTTATGGCTTTAAAAATTAACAGTTTGGCTAAATGTCCTGCTGGAAATCCTTTTTAAAGTCTATTTGATTTTACAATGACCTCCAGGACCCCACTCTTAATGTTTCTTGACATTAAGTGACCCCAGCYCAACTTTAGGAACTACGGCTGTATACCGTGATGGAAATCATGTCCACCTTCTTTATTTTGTTTAACTGTTGCTCTCAGGGAGGTTTAAAAAAAAGCAAAGTGCAGTGATAAAGTTTCATTTAAGAGCTGTGCAGAGAAATCCATTAGATCTGGTAAACTGTCTGGACCTTAAATCGTCAACTTGGCAGAGCAGTGAACACAGATCTGAAAAACGTAACAAGACAAATCTTGTGTCACAAAACCATGGGGACTTCACAGAGAAGTGTTGTAGCGTTGCCTCCTTTGGGACTGAAATGGTGGGAGGAGAAATGCAGCTGGTTCTTTTTAACTCCATAAGAACCAAACTGTAGCATTAATTCTTCTGCAACAGTCTACATGACAGATATACCTCTAACAACTCTTCCATCYGTAAGAAAAACTATTCACTAAAAAATAAACACTGAAATCCACACCGATCACATACTGTTCACATCAGCATTTGTTAATCAAACAGAGCGAGGACAACAATGGGAGCCAGCAGAGAACGATGACGAGCAGGAAAACAATGAACAAACCACCATATTGAATAAAACTGTTCAAAAGAAGGCCACTCGTAGGGACCAACACTGCCTTTGCCCGCTGAACTGATCAGAGAAAGTTTTWAAAAATAATTCCTTATTTTGAAAAAAAGACAAAAAACAGGGAATAATTTAGTAAACAGGCAACTCCTAAATTCAAACATTTAAGGCTCTTTAGTCAAGAAATGACTCCTGTCACTAAGATGACCTACATTTAGTGTACAGTCTCAAACTATCTGACTAACATCCACATGGCAGCAACTCACTGACTGCATGCCTACAARAGCTAACAGAAGATAAGTGATGACAGAGTACTTTTGGATGTTAGGTAGTAAAACAACCCACAAACCTGGTTTGTTTGGAAGTGGAGGCTAAYGAAGGCAGAGCAGGTAAGCCTCTGGTAGAGACAGAGTAGTGAACCAGCAGCAGCACTGACAGAGACACCAGCACAGCAGAGTTGATGGCCACCGCTCCCCCAACAAAGCCAAAAACAAACAGCAGCATACACCCGGGGCTCATGGCCCCCCAGATTAAAGCTCAGTGCCTCACCAGGGGGCCGAGAGGTTCAACAACAGTCAAGAAAATAGTAATAAAAACTACTGTGGTGTCGTCCCCTGAAGCAGTCTGCTACACCCGACGCAGCTAGGTGAGTTTAGAGCAGAGGATGCTGCAGCTCAAAGAGTTTGAGCAGATCAAAGGCAGAGAGAGTGTCAGCAGGACTGATTATCAGAGCAGCAGCAGCACAGACACACAGCAGATCCTCCACAGAGACACAGCTGAGGCTGGGAGCAGCAGCAGCTCTCCTCTGCCAAACGAGTCTGCTCTCCTTCCTCTCTTTCCTCCTCCGATCATCTGCCAAGACACAACACGGCTGTCGCTGTGCAGTCTAGAACACTGACGCCCTTTCCCTCTCACTGTCATGGCACCCAGCACCCCTCCCTCCCCGTCTCCCTCACTCTTTAGGGCGCCGATGCAGACTGCTCCATATGGATCAGGATGCTGCTGATTGGCTGAAAAACAGGGAGTTTAATCAAAAGATTTCCACTGAACAATATACTCCATAGAGGCATTTAGGTTTATGAATATGCTACATGTTCACATGAAGTGTGGAAAATATACATGTCTACAAAACAAGTTCAGTTTTGTAGAAATCACTTTTATACAATCACAATAAAAAGTCTTATTTTTAAATTCCAAGGTTTTAGATATCTACTTTAGATGAACAATTCTGACAATTTAAAATTAATTTTTAATTTAACAGAAACTGAGCCAAAATGCAGAATTCATGAGTGGCAAACTAAATGCACATTCAGCACAAAAAAAGATGCAAAACTCCTCTGTATGAATTTATGAGCCCCTCACATGGCTGTGSAGGAATTCTCGCCCAGTCCCCCTCCCCAACGCTGCTTCAGTTCCTTGGGGTTTGCAGACATTTGTTTCTGAACAGCTCTGTTAAGGTCTCACCACACTGCGTCGGTCCAGTCCAAGTCTGGACTTYGACTGGACCACTTCAACATCCTCATTATTTCCCATTTTCAGACATTCTGTTCAAGATTTGTTTTTTGTTTTTTTAGATCATTCTTTTGTTGAATGACCCCACTTTGGTTGAATTAATGACTGTAAGATGTCRCGGTGATTTGGTTGCAAAATTAGCACAAATTATGACTCCTCAACCTCCTCCTGATCTTACTGCAACCAGTTAAACTTCTAATTGTTATGAGCATTCAGGAGATAGCATTATTTCCAACTGACCCAATCAGCGTGATCAGTAACACCTGTGTGTCACCTTTCAATCACTTTCACTCCCTTCGACGCAGGATTCCTGGGTTTTCAAACCCCACAATTATACAGATTGAAAATAGTTTTAAACTAATGTTACTAAACTACATTTGCACCACATTTGTTTTCCTCCTTTTGCATGCTTCAGGGAAACATTTCAGACAGCTCGGTAATAAATGCTTACAGTTTTAATGTTCAGCTCTTCAGCTGCCCTTTCATTCTAGACAGGCTTTTAACTTTTAGTGTTTTAAGGTCTCGTCTTAAAACACATTTGTACTCGGTGTCTTAATGCAGCATGACATTTACTTTTTATTTGCATTATTTAAATGTTTTTATTTTGAGTATAATTGTATTTGAATTTATTTATTGTTTTTATGGTTTATTGCGTTCCAAACTATCTTTTTACTGTTTATTATTTTATGTGTTGCACTTTGGGCAGTGAAAGTTGTTTTTTAATGTGCTATTTGAATAAATCAGCTTGAAGTATATATTTCATGCACACTCTTGGTTTTTTGTAAGAAAATCCTTTTCTACTTTTTTGGAATTCAATGTGCAACAAAGCTGTGAAACTGTTTAAAATGTTTACATCCAGGGGAACAATTTACAAACTTTTTTTTTTGTAAAATAAACTATTAATGTTGTTCTAAGGTTGACATGTTAAAGAAACACCCACCTCAACAAAGCAGACCAACAGGAGCAACGACAATTTGTTTCTTTTCAAAATAGCATTTTAAACAACTTAATTTCAGCTGAATAAATTAAAGAATGCTGTGTTTTTCCCAATTTTATTTATTGTGTGTTTGAATAAAAGAAAATCCAACTTCATGAATCTTTTTATATAATCATGTGCTGATCAGCTGAGATATTTCTGTATGTTTTTACACCACATGTACATTCTTTAACAGCCTCCAGGCCATAAAAACAATACAACAGTGCTACTGTGTAAACTAAATGCTGGATAAAACACAAGAGATTAAAACAATTATGTTTGAATGTAGCAGGAAGGTCTTCTGACCTCCTGGCTTTTTGCAGCATGTTGCTCAGTCATAATCCACTCTACAAATGAGCAGTGGACCACAAAGCTCATCATCCCATTCAATCAGATTATTCTGGCAAAGGCAAAACTACTTCACAGAGTTATGCAGCTCCCACGACTTTCTAAATCAGACAATCAAGCTGTTGTACTGGAGACACAACTAACATCATACAGGATAACCTCTTTTTTTACTGAACATCTAAAAATAACTTTTAAACTCATTTCCTTTTATACAAAATATWTGATTATTGTACATTCAACCTCTTATTGCAAATTTATTCTGACTTATTTCTGCCACATTTCAAAAGCCAGCAGTGTGTAACGGCCATTAAATAGTTAAATATTGGTCAAGTTGTTTTGTAGAATGACCTACAGTATATAGTTGTGTCTCGATACCAGCATTTTTAAATATAATCACACAAAATGTCTCGATACTCAGAACAATCCCTGTTCTAACAATTATATTGTCTTATTTTGAGCATCGCTCGAACTTCTGCTGGATCTGAATCAAAGTTTTGCTGAGACACAAGTCCTGCACCCACTCCTTATTTTGATTGGCTAGAAGGCCCTTCTACTGTGTTTAAGTGAAAGCTGTCCACATCTGACTAGAAGAAAGAGAGCCACCTTGTTTTTTCTTTAAAGAAAAGCTTTTAAAGTCATTGTATAATTTTTAAAATCTAACTCAGTAAGTACTTGGTATTGATACTCGATATCAGCGACTACAAAAACTGAAGTAATTGTACTTGGTTTGAGAACAATTGGTATTAAACACCCCTAATTTATATACACTCACTGGCCACTTTATTAGGTACACCTTGCTAGTACTGGGTTGGACCMCTTTTGCCTTCAGAATTGCCTTTATCCTTCATGGCACAGATTCAACAAGGTACTGGAAACATTTCTCAGAGAGTCTGGTCCATATTGACATGATGGCATCACACAGTTGCTGCAGATTTGTCGGCTGCACATCCATGATGTGAATTTCCCTTTTCACCACATCCCAAAGGTCTCTATTGGATTGAGATCTAATGACTGTGGAGGCCATTCAAGTTCAGTGAACTCATTGTCATGTTCAAGAAACCAGTCTGAGATGATTCACACTTTATAACATGATGTGTTATCCTGCTGGAAGTAGCCATCAGAAGATGGTACACTGTGGTCATAAAGGGATGGACATGGTCAGCAACAATACTCAGGTAGGCTTTGGCGTTGCAACGATGCTCAATTGGTACTAATGGGCCCAAAGTGTGGAAATTATCCCCCACACAATAGCACCACCACCAGCAGCCTGAACCGTTGATACAAGGCAGGATGGATCCATGCTTTCATGTTGTTGACGCCAAATTCTGACCCTACCATCCGAGTGTCGCAGCAGAAATTGAGACTCATCAGACCAGGCAACATTTTTCCAATCGTCTATTGTCCAATTTTGGTGAGTCTGTGTGGATTGTAGCCTCAGCTTCCTGTTCTTAGCTGACAGGAGTGGCACTCGGTGTGGTCTTCTGCTGCTGAAGCCCATCTGCCTCAAAGTTCGACATGTTGTGTGTTCAGAGATGCTCTTCTGCCTACCTTGGTTGTAACAAGTGGTTATTTGAGTCACTGTTGCCTTTCTATCAGCTCGAACCAGTCTGCCCATTCTCCTCTGACCTCTGGCATCAACAAGGCATTTCTGCCCACAGGACTGCCGCTCACTGGATGTTTTTTCTTTTTCGGACCATTCTCTGTAAACCCTAGAGATGGTTGTGAGTGAAAATCCCAGTAGATCAGCAGTTTCTGAAACACTCAGACCAGCCCTTCTGGCACCAACAACCATGTTCAAAGTCACTTAAATCACCTTTCTTCCCCATTCTGATGCTGGTTTGAACTGCAGCAGATCATCTTGGCCATGTCTACATGCCTAAATGCACTGAGTTGCTGCCATGTGATTGGCTGATTCAACATTTGTATTAATGAGTACTTGGACAGGTGTACCTACACTGCAAAAACTGTCCATCTTACCAAGTTTTAAAATCTTACATCCAGCCAAAAAGTCTTTTTGATCTTGTTTTGAGACYGATTTACTAAACAAGAACTGATTGTGTTAGAATAATAATCTTGTTTTCAGAATGTGTAAGATTATTTGTCTTGTTAGTCTGAAAATTTGACTCTAAGTCAAAAAATTTTGCCAATGGAGTAAGAAAATTTTTCTTTTACTTACTCTTGAAATAAGAAAAAAATGAGTCAAATCAAGTATTTCAAGAATCTTACCAAGTAAAATTTTCTTACTCCATTGGCAGAAATTTTTGACTTAATTTGAGTCAAATTTTCAGACTAACAAGATAAATAATCTTACACATTCTGAAAACAAGATTATTATTCTTACACAATCAGTTCTTGTTTAGTAAATCGTCTCAAAATAAGATCAAAAAGACTTTTTGGCTGGATGTAAGATTTTAAAACTTGGTTAGATGGACATTTTTTGCAGTGTAATAAAATAAGTACCAGTGAGTTTATATCTATGAGTTTGTCTCACCGTCTTTTAGCAGATATGCCTGTGTCTGAAGGCTCTGCTGGTGTCATTGGATGCTGGTGTTTAGTTCGTTCCAAGTGTTCCATGTAGCTGTGGATCATCTGGAAAACAGAAGAGAGTCAAAGAACTAGCTACATTACATTATTTTGTAAATGCAAATTACTTTTATTTTGAAAACCTGATGAGAAATATAGGCATGAATTTATAGGTGTAAGTAAAGCCTCTACTGATTGCCAGACCTACAGAATAACACATGTTGATATCAGCTTCTATTAGACTTTCCTTTTCTCTTTTGAACATTATTCAGGTCAGTATTTGTCTGATATAACAGAGGTTTGGTTGGACAGAGACATCCATTAATGATCCATAATGAATAACTAACAGAGAAGGATCAAAGGCTCGGCAGCAACATTATTCATGTTCAAAGCCTTTATGTTTTAATTAAGCTCAGCAGAGCTAACATGAGTTCATTATTTTAATTTAGCCATTATTCTATGATTTTGAACAGACCACCGGACAGAACTTCTACATTTTTGTCCATAGTGTACCACCTCTTCTCAAAAATCACCACATTTGTGGACAGCGTCACCAACTGTGAGCTACACGAGACGTACAGCATGTATCACTATCAGTTCAAATAGGAAGCCATGATTCGCTCTTAAATGCTTCTGATTGGATCAGATTGAGGGGATCAGGTGAGGCATGACTCATAAAGGAACAACGGCTGGTTAAATGTTAGGCAAGAGGCGTGAATCAAAAGGCAGGGTTGGCCGTGGGTCAAATCTGACCATAGACGCTGAGAGGAGCTTTCCCAAAAGCACCTTCAACCTGTCTCAAGAGCACTAGAGCTGCAAGTTGACTCCTACATGAGAGCTCTGCTTAGACAGAACAGATCTGAGGCAAAGGCTCAGGCCTAAAAAACATGAAGATAATAAATAATTACTAAAAAACAGGTCCACCTCCACAGCTGCTCAGGTAGGAACAAAGTGAGCTGGGGTTAGTCCAGGTGAACAACAAGCCTAACAAACTGTGCACAGGAAAACAGGCCATGGTTTTCAAAAAATGGCCACATGGCTCAACAAGTGCAAACATTCACGAGTTTGATAAGATTGCAGCTGAACGGTCTTTTAACTACGCAAAGCAGCAACATTTTTCACTCTAGACTACATASTGAACTCATTGTAGAAACTTTACTTCTTTATGACAACAAAAACTTGGTACTCTTTTAAACTAGATGATGCATTAAAGTGTGTATCATTTTGTTGATGTCCCAAACTGAGGTGAGGGGTCAATTTAAGGGCTGACAGAGTAAAATAAAAACTTGGATATTTGGTAATGTCTCATAGCAAATACAGTAAATAAAACGTTGATCCTTCTATGCTGCACTTTGTTTTGCACCATCCATCTTTTCTACCCCAAATCTCAGCCATCAAATATGATGTACTACCTAACTCAAGTTTCCATCAGGCATTTCTTTGTTGACTTTAATATATTAAAGTAAATGTGATGTTTTCATGTCAGACCAGCCTACCTCAGTGTGTCTTTGATGAAGAGCATTGTACTCCTTCTTAAGGTCTGCTTCTCTCTCTTCAAATCTGCCAACTGGATGAAAAAGAAATAGTTTAGAAAACTGCACAGGAAAATATCAAACATATTTACTTCAGGTGGTAATTAAACATAAACACAGATAATTATCTTAAGTTGTTTTGATAGAACAAGAGAAATAGGCCCACCAWTAAAAACCTTATCAGAAGTTAATCCACTGTAATACCATCTGACAGCCAATAGAAGGCAGTCATGTGTTGCTAAAACTCTTCTAGAATTGGGACAAATGAACTAATATTTCTAAAATCTGTCTCAACACTTTTCACAAGATCAAACGCTATTATTTGTATGTTTCAAAGCCATTAAAGCTTTATTTTGAAACCTTAAGTCAAATTGTACAAATAGATCAAGTAATCTGGACTTTTCATGTCATTTCCTCATGTAACCTTGAATACATTTTAAAAGCTCCAAAACATCATAAATATTGGAAAAACTTTGTATTAATCAGAAGAAAAAAGGTAATTCTTAAGTTTACAATAAAAAAGGAGTAAAACACCTGAGTAAAAAATTCAAGTCACAGTAACAACTTACTGACTCCTATGGTCAAGACTACCAGGCAGCCTTGATTATTTGCAAGACTTGCTTGAAGGAAAAAAAACAGCAATGAAAATGTAATCTTAAAGAATAAATCCAGCACACTGAGCATCAGCAAAGAGCTGATGTGGTAAAATTCACAGAATGTAACACTCAAGGCTTTAGAACAGGCTTTAAGTCTGAAGCAGCAGGTGTTTAATACCAGCTGCATGGAAAATGTGACGAAAACTGTGATTCTGTGGTTATTTCTGTTTTACTATTCTTCCTCAAAACCACAGACAGATGTACACAAAGAAAACTAGAAGTGATTCAAGGAAAGTCCCACGTACAAGACTTGAATATGTTCAGCAATGCTTAAACTATGACTATTATAGCTGACAAGTGTTTGTCAAAAACAATTTAAAATCTGAGTTTTCATCTACCTCCACGTAAACAAATAATCTAGTGATAAATTAGTCTAAACACAAGTGAATTCTTATCTGTTTGTTATATTTTATACCTAAAATTATGAATTGCATAAGATACTTTTAAATTACTCTTTTAGAATGTTTAAATATCAAAATCAAGATAAAATCAGTGAAAAGTTTTCATGACACAACACAGCCACAAATCCAGCCCACAGGACAGTAACAAAAAAAAGTCTTACTAGTGCTGGGCGGTATACCGTTTTGTACCGAAAACCGGTTTTTATTTTTGTTATGATAGGAATTTTCTTAATACCGGACATACCGGTTTAAATAGCCTGAACATGTGCGGAACATTTCGTCGTGGCCGCCAGTGAACTGTTTCCCGGGGGACTCATTTCCTTGCAGCACCACTTAGCGCATTAGCATGCTAACGTAATTGCTGGTGCAACTGGCGGCGGCTGGTGTTTCAGCTGCCTTTTTTGTCTGACGTAAAAAAWACATTGCGTTTTCACCATCGCTGAATGTAGTAAACACCTCTTCAGTGACGTACACGGTTAGATTTAATGCATTACATTAGAGACGTTAATGCATGGAGACTTTAACGTGCTTCTATTGTGAAAGGCCTGGGGGGGGGGGGGGTTTGTAGTAGAGTTGAGTTGACTGGTGTGCAAGGTGAGTCGTCCTTTTAATTTTTTTAACACGCAAAGAAAGACCTGATAATGATTTTTTTCTCAACCCTTCACAATCGGACCTAAATGAATGATTACTGTCTACAACCAGTCAAAGATGAAAAGACGTACACGAGGAGGGAAACAGTGATACAGAGGTACAGCAAAAGAAAAAAGTCAATAAGCAAAGTTTGTACATTTTATTATCAGTTGAGCTGTGAGGAAAAAAATACGTCAAATACCGTGAAACCGGTGAAATTGTTGAAAATACCATGATATAAAATTTGGGTCATACTGCCCAGCTCTAAGTCTTACTAAAAAAAAAGAGGAAATGTCACATCAGCAAAAGAAATTTCCTCTCTGATGCTGACAGGCGAATGTTGCAGCAGTGAAACAATCAAAACTGTCCCAGAGTCAACAGTACAGCCGTAAAGTGATTTTTTTATGAGTTGCAAAAAGACGTCATGTTCACACAGTCTTTCAAATTTACAGTGGGTTGCAAAAGTATTTGCCCGCTTCAATTCTGCCTTAAAATCTGGAATTTAAATGGATTTATAATTTGATAAGGAAATGATCTACACAGAATGCTCCAGGTTACTGAAATTTGTATTTAAACCTTTAGTAAATCTTCTAAAAAATTTCTTAAAACTGAACTCTCTCTCAAACTCAATAGTTTGTAGAGCTACAAGACGGGCAAACCCACGTGAACTTGGATTAGTGCTGCTTGTGTTCAACAATCTTTACATCAAACCAAAGGTTCTCAGTTGGGCTGAGGTCTGGGATTTGATTGGACCATCCCAGGGCATTTTACAGTTTCTTCTTAAACCCCTGGATTGTTGCTTCAGCCATGTGTTTAAAGTTATTGTCCTGCTGAAGGCAAACCTTCATCCCAGTTTCAAACASGTTTCCCCTCAAGAGTTTTTATTTTTTGCACCCTCCATCTTTCAACATCGACCAGTTTCTGTTCATTAAAAATGTTCCCACAGTAAGATCCTACCACCACAACCACCAACATTTTTTCCTGTGAGGATGATGTTTTCTTTTTTCTCTCTTTCATAAAGCCCAGCTCTTTGCAGTGGTCCTAGGGACAGATCCTCTCATCTCAACACAAGAGCTTTCCATCAGTTTTATCTTTGGCTTCTTGTGTTTTTCTCCAGATAATATTCTCCTTGAATGGTCTAAGTTTTATTACACAACCCTTTCTTGGCAGGTTTGACATCATTTAATTCACTTTATAATAATGATTTAAAGCAGCTCTCTGGGATGTTTTTTTTTTTGTTTCTTTTTGTTTGTTTGGTTGTTTTTTTTTTGTTTGTTTGTTTTTTATCTGTACTTCACAAATTTGTCTCAGACCTACGTGGAGAGTTCCTTGATCTGAATGCTGTCACTTGATGGTAGCCCAGAACAGATGGATGGTTTTGTATATATGTGTTTTTACAGTTGTTCAAAAGGTTTTTCTCCATTTATTTGGTATTAGTGAGGTATTTTGTGTAGGATTCCTGAATTCAAATTGAAAACCCATTTAAATTCCAAGTTGTAAGTCTGTTGAAAACGTTAGCCGGGGGGGTGGGGGTGAGACCATTTTTGCAACCCACTTTAAATCCTTTTATATTTTACTTCAAGCACAAATTTTAAAAGTACATGTCCAACAAAATTTGAATGTTTTCTCCAATCATCTAGCAAGTAAAAAAAATTACATAAAAAATAAATCATAATAAAATATAATAAATAATTAAAAATCAGTAAATAAGACATAATAAATAAATACAATCCCCTCTGCACTAAATCATTCAGGGTCTGAAATATGTTGCGATTACAACTTGCCCAAGCAGAAAAGGCAGGGGAACAGTGATATAATAGTAGTAATGGAGCATAAACAGACTGAACATGGACACACTTCTCTGGCACATCAAGACCAACGTCACCAGACCTGCAAACAGTCAATGCTGCAGAGACTATACCTGGCCTCGTGTGTGTGTGTGTGTGTGTGTGTGTGTGTGTGTGTGTGTGTGTGTGTGTGTGTGTGTGTGTGTGTGTGTGTGTGTTTT